AAAGTCGGCGTATTCACATCTATCAAAATGTTTTTAGAAAGCCAGCCATATGATCTCACTCAAGTGAGGCTGCAGAACCAAACTTCATTGATTTTGTTTAAATTCAGTTTTAGGAGCTTAACAGGAATTAATTTGTCATAAAAAGTCACATGTTTACCGGCCGGTCAGTGAGTAGAAACTTGGAATAGAATAACCCGATACGATCGTAAGCATAGCACTTTCTGCCTGCTAAAAGATATTTTCCCAGGAAAATAAGTGTGATGGGTTACGCCGAGTTACAGAATGTTCTTAAAATACCAGTAAATATCTTGTGGTTTTCGGCGTTCTCAAATCAAGGCCTAAAATCTGTCCTCTAGTTTATGTTCATCAAAATCCACAAAAAAGGTATTTCATGACAGCCTTTACTGAAGCAGTAGGATTTGGGGCGTTCTTTTTGTGATGGCACCGGTTGGATAATATTTTTGGACTCACTCAAACACAGAACCCCAAATAAACGTTCACAACAAAGGTCTGCGATGAATATGTTATTGATAAGTGAAGAAAACATTTTCTGTAACGCTGCCTCTTCATAAAGTGTTTTTATGCGTAACTCACCAACGTACGTCAACGTGCTTGAAATTTTTCCACAGAAATGTCAGAGAATAAAGGAAAGCGTTTCGCCCGCTTCTGCCTTTCCAAAATGTATTGGAAATACTTCTGCCTTGGACAAGAAAGATCCACTTTTCTTCAAGTAAAAATCTGAGCTTCCGAAATCGTGCAGGAGTCCATCGTCGGAGATAGTAGCATCATCGGAACAAAGGGCAATTATAGACATTCTAACCAATCATCGATAGATTGCCTAAAACAATAGATAACTGCGCAGGGCTTTGCACGTCAGCGAAAGATCGATAAATTGATTGACTTTCCTCTTTATATTGAAGAACTATCGGTCATCTGTGTTTACTTTAGGGTCTCTGTCTACAATCATAACTGCCCCACGGAGTGGCTACATATTGATGGACATATGGCTCGAATTGCTGATGTCCGCCCCGTTCTGTTCCTTATTTGCGTATTAGCATAAATTAGACGTCACAAAAACTGTTTTATAATATGCTTAAAATTTAAAATGGCTATTTTTTGATGGACATTTTCGCGGTTACCGATGGAATATTCGCGAACGCCAGGGAATTACGGGTACGTTAGTAGGGGACACTTGCTGTAGACGTTAGCATGTTTTTTTAGAGTATAAAATCCCAAAGCTGGATTTTTAAAATCGACAATACCTCTGGCTTTCCGAAAAGAAAGTGCTTTTTCACATCGCGGTTCACCTGACTCATGAGGAACAAACAAACTCAATTTTTGAGTGTCCTGAGACTCGTCTGGCAAAACTCTCCGGTTCCGATTACTACTTTCTCGCGTCCAAACACGCGCTGATGCATAGATTTGTTGTAAGCCAGTCATTAACACATAAGAATGTTTTTAAATAACGGGTTAAGAGGATAAATAAAATTTACAACGTTTGAAATGCCCCAAAATGATCATCTGCATCTCCGTCCTCACGTTTCGTGAGTTATGTCACCGGTTGTTGATAATGAACTTTTCAAATATTGTTGCTGATAACTGGTCGACGGATTGATTTGCTTCCCCATATACGCAAAAACGTCCAGAAACGACAGCCTGATGTTCTTGGCTTGCATACTGCTCATAGTGACAAGTAGATTTGTGTTTTCCGAGTCATGATCTTGCTGATTTTATATTCATTTACTAAACAGATTCAAGTTATGCTGTACTCATTTACTCAGTAGACCAAACAGGGGGGAAACGGGTTACAAGCCGTCTCGTAATTTTTCCTACTGATAAATCCTAAGATTTATGCTTGTCCTCAAGTCATGCCGGAAGCAAAGGGCTTCAACTATATCAACTTTATCAGATTCTTCTAGCAGAAACGAAATAAGCGTACAAAATTTGCGACCTCGTTGTTTTAAGAGTTTTGTGAGAGTACATTTCAACAGACGCACACATATTTTTAATCAGTTCCCATCAGGATGGTGTACCAAAGCGTGTAGGATGCGAAAATCTTGTTGTCTGATTTGAGGAAACGCTAAGAAGACGTGAGTTTTGGGGGAACGCAGAAAAGGGCGAGAATCAGGAGGTGTGGAAATTATCAGGCTTCAACAAAAGAGATGACAGGGAAGGAGGCATAATTTGGGTGATGGACATTTGCTCCTTATTAGCTCCCCATCTGCAGAGTAATTGATCGTGGGTCATTGGAACTGAATGAAGTGGATGTGAACGTTCGAATTCCAGGTATATGTGTTGTAAGGAAGAAAAACGGCCACGCAATGGAATCATTCTTTTTCTTGACTTTCTAACACGTGCAGGAGTCCGTCGTCAAAGCTAGTAACCGCAACGGAGCAAGGGACAGTTGGAAGTGGTATTGACCAATCAACAATCAGTGGTGCAGATGCGGAGGTGGCTAGCCAGGGATCCTGTACGCTAAGGGTGGATCGATACACAGACTGACTCAGTTCTCATTCAGCTTCCGGGCGTAAACCAATCATCGAATTGTCTTGCCTCTGGCATGGGTGATTATCGGGTTTGCATACATTTTCCCCGGTTTAGTTGTGGCGGGTCTTGACCCGTTTAAAGGGCGCTCTCACACAGTTTCGTTTATAATAGCTGTGCGGTGTTAGTCGCCTTCTGTTTTACCGTAGGGATTTCTCCCGACGAGCCAATCAGAGTGGGGCAGCTGCTGCTCCTTCTCTTCTTCCCTCGCGACCTTGCTCGTGATTGGCTAATGAGCCCCTATAAATCGCCATTAGGCTCCTATTTGGATGATTGTGCGCCATGGAGACGGTAAAAAAGGTGCTTGTACGTGCATAGTACCGGTTTGTATGGCCTGCTTACCATCATCACCGCCACCCCCGCTGATGCAAGTGGCTGTTTTTTTTAATGTCCTCAGTTTTTTGTTTTCGCCAGCACTGGAAACGCCTTTTTGGCACCCCACCTGGTTATCACCAGATGTAGAATAATGCAGCTATTCATTGTTCCCATTTCATCTTTTCTCAGTCTAGCTGGTGTATGTTACATCACTCATGTTTACGCGCGCGCCTACTTCGTCGACCAGTACTGTTTCCTGTAAAGACGCATTGAAAGGGTCTGCGGTGGCAAGCTTGTGTCTGCCTTGGGCGGGATTTGGCAATCTCCCCGGCAGATCTGTTATTGCGCTTGTTAAGGCCGCCTAATATGTATTGGAAGCGTCTCCTGCATCAATGAAGGAGTGAAAACTTGAGCCTGAGACTAGTGGTTTATCAAAACGCAAGAAAGATTACAGTGAGATCGGACTGAAAGATGTTGGGAACGCTTGCAACAGCTATAAGGGCACGTACACTGGAAGACTATTGCATACCGATCAGTCATTATCCTTCTACGCTATGTGACAGGCAAAAATCGTCCTATAACTGCAAATCAGGGAAAGACTTTGCCATTTTACTGAGGAGCTCCACTCCTGAAGAAGGAGACACGATCGCTGTGCAAAGAGCTTCATTAGCCTGACGTTTCGGATTTCTGCTCGAACCCATCATAAGAGACAACAGCAGATACGGGTATCTGATGATGGGTTCGAACTGGAACCCGAAACGTCAGGCAAATAAAGCTCTTGTCCCAGCGATCATGTCTCCTTCTTCAAGACTACTTCCCGGGACTCGTCTCTTCGCTTCTATTGAGTTCCCCTCCAGCTGTCAACACGTATATGTGAGCAATTGTGTTCAAAAACTACCAAATTTGGGGCAGAAATACGCTCAAAGCCGGTAACTTTTCCGGTAATGCACTTAATTGGGGCCAGATCAAGATCTGTGTTATGTGACTGACAGAAAAAATGCAACGAACGTCCTCAGTTGCGGACGGCAAATGATAGACTGAGTACGGCAGAAGAGCTTGGGGACAAACGTTTTCGAGAGCCAGTAGGAATCATCGGTCGTCTTTTTATTCTCGAAAATGTCCCAGTCTCTCATGGAGAAAAAACCAAATGCTTGAAATCAACATTTGCTGAATTTGCAAAAAAACCGAAGCAGACAGTGAGATAATCATACATCAACAGGTATTCCCGACAAGTATTGTCGATTAAAGTTTTCGGCCGGTTGCGAAATTTGGGTCAGACAGGTCTGGAAAACCAAGAATTCTGTTGATACGTATATGCGTAAAACGCAGCAACTTTATTTTTCCATTGCCCCCAAGACTTTAATATAAAAGAGACAGCACTGGAAACCCGAAATCTATTCAAGCTACCGGACATTTTCTGATGAGAAACGGTATTGATTATGTTCTCATTCTTTCTGCGAGTTTTTTTCCTTCCACGGAGCATAAATAGATTCTGTTGAATAAGCCTATGTCTTCTGTCCGGTCGCCATATTTAGCAACCCCAGGCTACTGACTAGTGTTGAAAGGGAGACTGGTTAGACCACGCGGCGCCTTTGCCCTCTCCTCCTCTTCCTCTCCCTTCCCTCCCCTCTTCTTCTTTCCCTCCCCCATAAAATTTGTGGGATTTCTGCGACAGAATATTTTTCCATCATTAAAAAAACATTTTGAGACCGCAATTTTAATGAAGGAAAGCCTGTCCGAACATCGCAGACTTGGGCACATTTTTTAACATTTCGAACTCATGACAGAGTTTATGGTCAGGGAAAGATCTTTTTGCAAAATAATCCATCTGTCTAAATTGGTCATGACGGATCTGATCATTGACTGGTCCGTCGTCTGTCTGGGGTGTAAGTCTTTACTACCCGAGGTGTCAGATAATTTCGCTGGCAAAATCCTTCACAGGAGTTTCCGGTAGATAGGAGATCATTCAAGACACACCGACTTTGGTCTGAAATTCGACAATAAAAACATCATAATTATTTGTGGCGGGAATTAAAACTGGGCGTGTGTGTTTGTGTGTGAAAGTTAATGCCTCCATTTAATTTTATACATCGCTTACCTTTGTCCGCTGCGTTCAACAGCTGAGACGCATTGGTTGGATGATGGAACTCGTCTGCTCCGCCCAGCCCTCCGACTCGCCGAAAGCTCCTGCCAACTCCACCGCCGATGCCTCTCACAGCTGGTCCAATCACAGCCATCGTGGCACCAGCAGCTCCCCCATCGCACCGAATGACGCCACCGCAAACGTCACCTGGAAACCCGTCTTTCTGGCCGTCTCCGAGGACAACCTCCTGCTCTATCATCACGCGCCGCTGCGGCTGGATGAATGGCAGCGTCCCGCGCACTCCAACGCTCTCATTGCCACACGCGTGGTGGATGTCCCCCCGCTGGGCATCGCAGGCAGCCTCCGAGTACCGCCGCTCAACTCCCGACTGACCGCGCAGACCCGCCTGCTGGATATGCTCGTATTCACTGTTCGTACAGGCAAGTGAAATGTGGTCAGGTAGTCATTACAGCGGGCTATCCCAGTATTACTTGATTTATGAGATGCAAGACTGACACTGGGGGACTCCATCCTCACGCCACCTGAGCGTATTCCTCACTATAGTGCATCTTATGTGCCTCTACCTATTACGGCGAGCCAAGATTCGTGGCTTGGAAAGCTGCCAACTGACATGATAACTCGCCTACCACGCGGATAGTTTGAGGTGCCTAAGTTCTACGAAATTCCCCACATAATGTATGGAAAGTCAGTTGGCATATACATATTTTCAGTAATTCCCCGTCAGACCATGGGTACTGGACTTGTGGGTTATTGACAAGATTTAAATGCTTCTAAGGAGGCAGAATTAGTCAGACTTCTTGTTCTCACGCCATCCACATGACGGAGTCAGCCTGCTGAGGACGGTGGAGTTGGGGTGATGGGGACGGGGAGAAGGGGAGGGATTCGGGTTAGGTAGTGAGCGCTGTCCGTGTGTCAAACACGCGGACTGCGTATGACTGTTCTCAGGGCGTCGGCACGGCTTGCGATCAACAGAGCGCTGGAGTAGCTAATCTAATGGCTACTGCCTGGGCGGCTGTTGCTAGCACCCAGTTGCGGGTCAAGCTGCCATTACTCTTCCTCCATGTGACTTTTACAGCACTCCCACACAGGCAAGATCCCACTTGCCCTCGAAGAAGGACTAGTACATGCAGTTTTGACCAAATAGTGTGTGCGTGTGGCACGAGCAGATGGGTAGTGCAGTTTTGTCAGCCTCTGCGTCGGTGTCCAATTCCGGAGAGGGTGAGGGAGATGCTGTGAAAGTCCGTCTCACCAAAAACTAATCCGTACGCAAGTAAACGTCCTGAGCACACTCCATGGGGCACACGATGTACGGCGTCGTTCACGACAGTCCTGCCATCGGAACTAAGCGAGTGAGGAAGAAGAGAGTGTGGTATATACTGTGCCTGTCTGTCTCGCCACATACTCATTTATGCTAACGTCAAGGACGCTGCGTCCACTACGTGGATTATGCGGTGGACGTCATCGTTTGCGAAGGTCGGGCCGTCACATACGACGGCCTAAAATCGTTGAAGCGCAGAGTTCCGGATGTGAAGGAGACACGATCGCTGGGTCAAGAGCTTTATTAGCCTGACGTTTCAGGCTTCAGCGCTTCCGTATGTCAAGGACGTTCCGGAAGCTGTCGGCCGCCTTCTGGCACCACTTGGGGTTGGAGTTGCACACAGACCGGAGGCCAACCATCCGGCGTAAGGTAACGAAACTGAAAGACCCGCTGCCACGGCAAGAAAAGTCTGGAGTCGTTAATCGGATCTGATACAGTTTCGGACAAAGCAAGTACGTCAGAGAAACCGGAAGACAGCGCCGAACGCGAATGGCCGAACACGCTGCAGCGGTGCGGATAAATCACGCCAGCTCTCAAGTCGCGGCTCATTCGAAGAGATCCGGCCACACATTCAAATTCGACGAGGCCAAAATTCCCGCTAGAGCTGACGACCGTGTGAGCCGGGAGCTACTTGACTCATGGTTTACTGGCCCTTAGTCCATCAACAAGAGCAACGATCTTCCCATTCCATACTCCCTGCTGAGACTTCGCCTAGACGGAGTAATTAGCCACGCGGGGAGCGTACAGGTGAGCACTGTTTCCTACACCAGGGTTGGTGGGTCAGGTGGTCGAGCAATCATCACACCAACATTCGACGCACGTGATGAAATTGCAACAATTAACGACGCGAATGTCGGCCATCACACCACGTGCAACGATCCCTGATGAAGGGAGGAGCCGTGAATATACATAGGCATGTGCTAGTGTGGAGACTGCATCCTATAAATACTACAGCCCCTGGTGCATGAACCACCCGTAAGTGCTTTTGTCTCTGATGATGGGTTCGTGCAGGAATCCGAAACGTCAGGCTAATAAAGCTCTTGTTCCAGCGATCGTGTCTCCTTCTTCAAGACTACTTCCTGGGACTCGTCTCTTCGCTTCTATTGACAGTTTTAGACGTTTTGACGTCAGCGAAAGCCATCCCCTAGGGACAATGCCAAGTGTCTGCGAATGTGCAAGACCGAAGTACCTGAAAAATTCCTGACAAACTCAGGATCCTGTCCATTAATGGCATACAACGGCAACTAGTTGCAGGAACGGCGAACATGCGAATCAGTTAATCAATAAAGGGCTCTACCCCTCCGTAGACTTCATTGCGACGTAGTGTTCGTATTGATGCGTAGGGGTAGACTTCGTGGACGCAGAACGGTGCGTAGAAATAATTGACAGCTAGCTGAAACCCATAAACAGAACGTCAGAGGGAATTTTTCTATAACGATATGATGTGGTTAACAAAGAACAATTAATATAAGCAGTTCCCAATTAGTTTCCACTGGGTATCCAGTCCTCAGAGATGATTTCGATCCAAAAATCGGACCGAATATTTATAAGCCCACTTATCAGCATTCCAAAAGTTTGAAAGGCGGATAGCATGTTTTAGAGACCAATTTTTGGTCGCGAACTTCTTAAAGCCGTCGTTTAGAAAATTAGAGTTAAGTATCATCTAGTAGACAAAAAGCGCAATTAGTTTGTTTAAAAACTTTGAACTGAAATAAAGTTTGGGAAGTTTGCTCGTGTATGACAGCAGGCCTTAATCCATGGGCTTCCTCAGCCTGCTATTAACATGCAAACCTATTTCAAGAGGTACTCTCCTATTGAGAATTTATGGTTTATTCCATCCCAACAATCCAAGAAAAACAGTCAAAACGCGGCTTTGATGTTGGAAAATGCAAGTTATTACATATACAGAAATAAGAAAACAAAAATGCCTTAAACACAGAATCTGAAGAAATCGCAAATTCGTACAGAAAACTGGGTAAGATATGGTTATGCAGCGCACCTGTTGGACACAATACTGTTGGGGTTAAGGTTAGGGGTCATGGCAACTATTTCTCAACCACTCAAAGTACAACCGCGCATTCCGAATAAGTTTTCTTTTCAAAAGGCAATTTGATGAGCATTCGTCTGCTTTCGATAAATTCTCTTCAGGTCTGTACATTTATATGGCTATTGAAGTAATGAATTAAAAGATATGGGCAAGTGGATAATTAAGGTGTAGCTCGGGTTTGGGGAGGGGAGGGGAGGGGGAGAGGGAAACACCACAATTCCAGTCAGCGCCAGGGGAAGGTGGGTCCCGGCGAAGGCAAGTATATGCGGGTGGTTGGCTTGGTGGCTTTGAACCATGTCAACTGTGGGACCTGTATGAAGTTCTTCTGTGCGCAAAGGACCGGTCCGCGTAGCCTGACTACAGCCGCCTCTACCGTAGCCAACAAGCGCCGCCCAAGTAGTTTTGGATAGCTTGGTGGGACCTTGTAAATCACTCTGAAGGCCTCTCTGGCGTCTACACGGTGGTCAATGTCTACCATGTGCGCGAGGATCGACCTGTTAATGTTCTGTAGTTGACCCTTTCCCCACCTTCCTCTAAGATGTTCTTTTATTCTTTAGGATAAACGTCGGCCCGTGCGACCAATATATTCTGCCCCACAGGAGCAGGTGAAGGAGAAAATGCACATAGAGGTGGTCTGAGATGGTAGTTTGTTCTTGTCCTTTCCGTATAGGATGGGACTGGTGGAGAACAGTACACAGGTGTCAGCTGCTGGAAAGGTCTGTGATACAGCTTGAAGTAGGCGTCTTCTTAAAAGTTCACTTGGTGTATTCCCTTAAAATGGGACTCTGCTGAGCCTTTCCTTTCCTGTCGTCAGTATCGGGGGTGTTTGTGGTCTTTCGGCCATGTTCTTAGCAATGAATCGATCAGGATACCCGTTCTGGGGAAAAAGGCTTTCGATGATCCTAAGCTCTTTCTCAACGCTATCAGCATGCAATTACTTGATTTCGTCGCCTGTGCGTTCCCCGGTCCCTCCTGTAAAAAATCCTTGCTGCCGCCGCTCCCATATTACAGGTGGCCGGGGTCTGTTTACTTCAGGTGGGGCTGCATAACTACTTCTGACCAAAAAACTGGTACAAATACTAATTCACCCATGGTAACTTAAAGTGGCCAGTGTTATGCAACATATGTTTTCAGTACGACATTAGCGTGAAACTTAAACATAACTCACCATCGCATTTTGCGTTCCATGAAATAACGTCAGATTTCGTCGCATGGTTCATCAGTGCCGGGAATTCGCTTAAGCGAACTAGAGCAGCAATGGGCGTGTTTTTGACTGGCTCTGGTCCCAGCTTGTGGTAATCCCTGTCTTCAGTAACATAAACTATGGGCCATTAGGACATTTCACTCACAGTTTTCAGAGCCGCGGCGGGACACAAGAATATGGACTTGGGCTTAATTTTAGGGGGTCAGGATCAAGGTCAGTGTTAGGATTGACGTTATGACAGGGGAAAAGGTGCCCCCTGGGACTACCGGTAGTGCAGGGGGGGGGGCGTGTGCCATTCCTGTCTAAAACCACGATCTCTGCTCTGTGCAGACCGACATATTAACACAGCACCTGATATGGCTTATTTGGATTCCAAGTAAACTAGTTTGACAGTTGTTGCTATCCACACACCAGGTTGCGGTGGCCATAGTTTGCTGATGCTGGCGTAGCAGACGCCTATGAGGCCCAGAAGGGTGACGCGCAGCTCTGCATTTGCCTGGGCTGAGCAACCAGTCAGTCAGGGACTGAAAGGCACTATCCACTGAGTAAAACGCACTCCTCACATGGCCTTTCTTTAACTGGGAGTTCCGACGTCGGAAACGGGACCTTCTGTCACATGCGGCACCGGTGATTCTTTCGCCCACTGGGTTCTGATGGCAAAAGAAAGTGGAGATGACCGGAGTTGAGTGTGAGCGAGGTGACCATAAAAGTTGTACGACCCGTCTACTCGTTCGACGCACGCCCTGATCCCCATTACATGTGCGATACCCCAGTAAGGTCTACCCGGGTCTCGCATTAGTGAGTGCTATAAAGGTTGCGTTAAGAAGGAGCCATTGCAACCTAATTCTTAGTCCTCCA